AATTTTTTAAATATCATATTAATTAATAAAATTATAATTCAAATATCATATTAAAAATTATTAAAATTCAAACATCACATTATATATTTCACTTTGAATATTATTTTAATCAAATTCATATAAAAGTAATTAACCACAATTAAAAAAATAAAAAAAAATACTAAAAGCATATATTTTTAATCATTATATTCTAATTAATCAATCACAATTCAAATTTATATAACGTCCATCAAAATTTTATATGAAATTTATATTTATAAGTGATTAATTTTTATGTAATTTTTTATTATAATTAAATAATTATAAAATTATAATAAAAATTTTAGGTGAAATAATAACAATAAAAAAACTATTAAAAAAAATTGGTTACCTCCTAGTTTGCCAAATTCTGGCCCCACCTTTGATTTGGTCCGAATTTCAACCATTGAAAGGGGCCGTTTGTGCGATTCATGAGCCGCAAAGGGTTTGTGAATTATAGTTATCAGAAATGAATTAAGTTTGATTGATTAAATCGATGAATTAATATTAATATTAGTCTAATTTTATAATTAAATTAATTTTATAATTAAATTATTATGAATCAACGGTTTATATAATAAACCTATAAATTAGATGATTTTTTGGGAATCGAATTAATTCAATATTAACTATTAAGTTTAGGTAAAATAAAAAAAAATCCTTCAAATATTTAAAATAATTTAATTAAGTGCTTATACTACTATTTCATAAATAAGGCCCTCAACTTTTATATTATACTATCAAAACTTTTATATCTTTATATTAATGATATGTTGATATACTTCAAGATCTTGTGAATAATGATATTGTAAAAAAACTTACACATGTGTAAAAATAAGTAATTTTTTGAAAAAGATAATCTAAAAAAAATTATTAATTGATACCATAATTATAAATAATTATAAAATTAATAAAAAATGATATGTTAATAAAATGATTAATTATTTGACCATGATAAAAAATAATTAATAAAAGAATATGTATATATGTAAAATTAATAATATATATATATTCATATAAAAATATAAAAATGATTTTAATATCCTTTTTACTAATTTTCATTTTAATATAAATGTTTCCTTTTTATTAATTTTATGTATAGATATTTCTTGGTTTATTACATAAGGATTAATTATTATATATTGATAAATAATATTTATATTTTAATAAATAATAATAATAATTTATTAGTTATTATTTATTATATTTATTAAAATATAATTATTATTTCTAACTACTAAAATATAAAATATGATTTTAATAAAATGTTAAGTAATTTCATTTCTAACTAGTAATTAATTATTTTATGAATTTTATATTTTAAAATTTGTAGTTTATGATTGAATTATTAAACTATAACTTGAGTTAAAAGTTTGAATTTTAAATTTTTGAAATATTTATAGTTTTTATAGTATTTTTTATTGAACCGGTAATTGACCTAATTGACTTAGTGGTTAAATCATTAATCCAATTATCCAAAACTTTGAACAGTTTTATGTTCGATCCAATTCTGATAACTATGATTTAAATCCCTATTTTTTGTTCTGACCTTAATTCAAAGATATCAGAGTAAGAAGGTCATGATCAAATTTATTGTCAATTTTTAATCGCATTATTTTCCACTAATCTCTAGTATTTATCCACACTAATCTTGATCAAACTTTTTAAAGTTGAAGAAAAACTCTTCATCTTCTTCGGGAATTGATTAGTGACTCATCTTTTTTCCTTAATATATGTCTCCAAAAATATGTTGGGTGGAAACTCTTTGAGAAATTACCTTGGAATAACATAAATAATATTTTTGACGGCATAAAAGAATTATTATTACAAATAAGTAATAATTTTACACAAAAAAATAAGTGTTAATATAAAAAAAAAGTGAGAGTAATCATAAAATTGATATCATTTGTCATAAAATGGTTAGAATTGTCATAAAACCTTTAAGAAGAAATTATGATAACTCTAAACGTAATGAAAAGTAACAATAAACATAAAAAGATATTATCATAACAAAAATAATTAAGTTGGTCATGTAGAAAACTTATTGTTACAAATAAAAAATAATTTTAAACAAAAAATAAGAGTTAAGATAAAAAATAGTGAGAATAATCGTATTGGTCTTATTTTACGTAAAATAATTAGAAGTATCATTACACCTTAACAAAAAAATATTTTAATAATTTTAAATGTAATGAAAATTAACAACAAATGAAAAAAATTATTGAAACATAATAAATTTGTAATGTAAAAAAATTAGTACTATAAATAAAAAATAATTCTAAATAAAAAAATAAGTGTTAAAGTAAAAAGATGAAAATAATTGTTAAATTAGTATAATTTGGCATAAAATATGTTTGAGGTATTGTAATACTTAAGAAAACATTTGATAATTCTAATTATAATAAAATATAAGAACTAGCATAATAGATTTTATTGTAACATAAATAATTAAATTGATAACATAAAAAATTATTGTTATTATAAATAAAAAAATAATTCTAAACCTAAAAATAAGTGTTAAAATAAAAATGTGAGAATAATTATAAAATTGATATAATTTAATATAAAATATATTAAAAGTATCGTAATGTTAAAATGTGAGAATAGTCGCAAAATTAGCATCATTTGGTGTAAAATAAGTTAGAACTATAGTAATATCCTTATAAAGAGTTGTGATAATTTTAAACATAATAAAATATAAGAACAAGTGTAAAAGAATATTACATTAACGTAAATAATTAAGTTTGACAATATAAAAGAATTATTATTATAAATAAAAATAATTTAATAAAAAATAAGGATTATAAAAATGTGAGAATAATCATAAAATTTGTATTATTTGGCATAAAGCATATTAAAAGTGTCATAACATATTAAGAAAAAAGTTGTGATAATTCTAAATGTAATAAAAGATAAGAACATGTGTAAAAATATATTATTATAATGTAAATAATTAAATTGGTAATGTAAAAATTATTATTATAAATAAAAAGTATTTCCAAATAAAAAAATAAGTGTTAGCATAAAAAAATAAAAAAAGTGAAAATAATCATAAAATTGATATAATTTGAAGTTGTAATACCTTAAAAATGAATTATGATAATTCTCAACGAAATAGAAAGTAAGAACAAGTGTAACAAAAAAATTAAAATAAATAATTAACTTGACAATATAAAATAATTGATATTTTTAAATTAAAAGATTCTAAATAAAAAATTTGTTAATGTAAAAAGATTAAAAAATCATAAAAATCATATTTTTATATGTAAAAGGAGTTTAACATGTCTTATCCTCGGAAAAAAAAGTTTTAATAATTTTAAATGTAATGATAAAATTGTATAAAAATATATTATTAAATGTAATTAATTCAATTGATTTCATAAAATAAAATTGATATTATAAAATTAAAAAATATATCATTTTTTGTTTGTTAAATTAATAAATTAAATAAAATTATGTATATTTTTTAATGTTTATCTATTAACTTTTTCTTCCTTATTTCCTTTTTCTTAAAATTACATTATTTTTACAATTTATCATGATATATAATAAGATATCATGATATCTTATGATTTTAAAATAAAATTGATATATTACAATTTTACTATAAACAAACTCAATAAGTAAGAGTAATCGTATTTATTTTGATTTCACATCCAATCACAAATGAAATAAATAATAATTTTAACTATAAAATCTCATATTTTATATTATTTAAAAGAGTTAAAGACATTTTAATATCATTTTTATATGACAAAATCAATTATTAATATTTTTGTATTGTAGCCAATATTTCATATGCATATTTAAAAGTTGTTCAATAAGATATCTATAATTTTTTTTTTGAAAATTTTAATTTACCTATAAATCTCTATCTTATTACATACTTGACTAAAGAGAACATTACATACCTAAACTTTTTTAAACCTACAACCTTTAAATATCAATTTCAATGATATGTTAATTGATCAAAAAATATTTAACAAGATATCTATGAATTTTCAAAACATGACTATTATGAAATTAAGCTTTCCTTTTCTCATGCATATGAAACTCATAAACTAATTTAATTATAAAAAATAATGGATGAAAATTTTATTTTGTTAATTAACAAGCTAAATTAATAATTATCAACCTACCTTTAATCAAACATAAAAAATGTACAAACTTTTAATGTAAAATTAATTATTCCTTAAATAATACTGATAGATAAAAAAACACTTGCAAAAATAAATTTACTATTGATCATTTGCCATACCCTGTATTTCAATCTAAATCATTCAAAATTTTCTCAAATTCATATCCCTCCAAACCTTTCCCTCTCAAAAATATTTTTTTTTTGAATTGGATGAACATATCGTTTCATGTCCATGCACTTACATTTTCCTCTTTGAAAAAGTAACCATAACGGAATCGAATAGGCAACCTTTTGATTTTTGAACTAGGATAGGACATGCTACCATTACACCAGAGGTTCATCCTTCATTAACCAAAAATTTGAAAAAACAAATATTTTCTCATGTAATCTCCTCTGTTTCTTCTCTGATCACTCCCTCCAGTCTCCCATGCCTCAGTACCCTTTTCTTCCCCATCAAACTTCCAAGAAGCCCTTTCAATTTCTCATTCCTCGTAGACCAATCCACAACTCAGCCCAGTGAACACACCCCCCCCCCCCCCCATGCAACACCCACACCCTCTGCTTAATTAATTTTCTACTTGAAGTCTCGTCTCATCTCTCTCAAGAAATGCGAAAGCAAGAACCCACACCACTGCTGCAATTGATAGGGTCAGGGAAGCTATAAAAGAGCACTATCTCCACACCAACTACAACTTAAAATTTCCAAAATATGAAACAAGGTAATTTTAAGTAAATGTTTTGTGAATTTCTTAAATTAATTCCTTCTTTTACCTGTAAATTGAAGCATGAAGTTGTTCATGTTAGATTTTTTTCATTTTGTATGGGTTTTCGTCTTTGTTTCGGTATGGATTGTCCTTTTAATTTGATAAAAAAACATATAACACAGGCAACAGAACTCAATAAACTGCTACAGTGGTCTGTTGTTGCTGCTATTTGCAGCCCTGAAGCCCCGCTATATACGTCAATCGCTTCTCGCACCTTATTTCCTGTGAATAACGGTTTTGGTGGGTGCCGTTACCGTGAAATAGCGGCGTCTATACAGCGACCCATCCTCTATTTGAATCTTGTTACTATGAGATCTGTAGAAGAAAGCTGCTGTAATCATAACTCCAATGGTTAGATTCGACAAGGAGATATCTTCCTCATCCTTCTCATCATCTTCTTCTATTTCTGGAAGGAAATATGACGTTTTCTTGAGTTTTACAGGTGAGGATACACGAATGAACTTCACAGACCATCTATGTTCTGCTTTAAAAAGGAAAGGAATCATCGCCTTCGGAGATGATGAAAACCTTGAGGTAGATGAAGCCATCGCACCAGAGCTCTTTAAAGCAATTCAAGAATCATGGTCCTCAATAATCGTTTTCTCGGAAAGATATGCTTCTTCCAGATGGTGTCTGGAAGAACTTTCTGAAATTATTAAACAAAAAAACGAGTGGGGACACAAAGTTTTCCCAATTTTCTATGATGTGGATCCATCTGAGCTACGAGAACAGAAAGGGAAAGTTGAAGAAGCTTCTGCTAAGCATGAAGAAAAATTTAAAGAGGAAACAGTAAGGTGGCGAACCGTTTTAACTGAAGTGGCTAACGTGACGGTATGGCACTTAAATAACAGGTATCCATCTTATTCATTCACTTAAAGAATGATCGGCATTCAGCATTAGACTCCTTTCTTCTTCTTTCTTCTCTTATGTGAAGCTGCAGTTATTTTCATTAAGCTATCTCTTAGTAACTAAATTGCTTCGCTTTTTGTATTGTAGGCACGAATCAGAATTTATTGGAGATATCGTTAAAAAAAATATCAACAAAATTACGTCAAACATTTTCAAGTGCTCCTAATTCTGACATGATTGGAATTCAAGCACGTTTGAAAACACTGCTTTGCAGAATAAACGTAAGGGATGATGAAGATGATTGTGTTCGCATTATAGGGATTTCTGGTTTGGGAGGAATTGGTAAAACAACACTTGCAAGATTTGTTTATACCCAAATTTCAAGTCATTTTGAAGGTAAAAGCTTTCTAGCAAGTGTTCGGGAAGTAGCGGAGAAAGATGGACTTGTTTGTTTACAAAAACAGCTTCTTTGTCAGATTTTGTTTGAAGAAGGTTTTAATTTTTTTGATGTTGATGAAGGAAATGACATGATAAGTCGTAGGTTATCTCATAACAAGGTTCTTATTGTTCTTGATGATGTGGATAACATCCAACACTTAAAATGTTTGGTCGGAAAGCGTGCTTGGTTTGGTTTAGGAAGTGGAATAATTATAACAACAAGAGCTGAGCATTTGTTGCAAACCTATGGAGTGGATGATGTGTATAAGCCAATGACATTGATTGCCAATAAAGCACTTCGAGTTTTCAGTTTGAAAGCTTTCAAAAGTGATACACCTGAAAAGGATTTGGTCGAGCTTTCAAAACGTGTTATAGAATATGCAGATGGCCTTCCATTAGCTCTCGAAGTTTTTGGTTCTTTTCTTGCTGGGAGAGATGCTTCTCAATGGACAAGTGTAATAGAAAGACTTGAAAATGATTATAAGAAAGAAATTCTTGACAGGCTTCAAATAAACTTTGATGGAATAGAAGAAACGGAGATGAACATATTTTTAACTATTGCTTGCTTCTTCAAAGGGGAGGACAAAGATTTGGTAACAAAAATTCTGGTCGGTTGTAACTTTTTCTGGAATATTGGAGACAAATTGTCGATACATCAATTGCTACAAGAGACAGGAAGAAAAATTGTTCACCAAAAATCTCCCATTGGATCATCGATTAAATGCTGTAAGTCACTGCATAAATATATGTACAATATGTAAACAGCTATTTTCTTTATAATTTCTAGTCTCTATTCAAGTCGTTAAACTATCCACCCGAGATAAATTAACCGGGTAAGTTACTCTTATGACATTAATTGTAAATTCAATGTATTGATTAGGATACGAGTCCAATAAATTTAAGTGGGATAGCACACAAATTAACCATTGAATTATTTTAAGATGCACATTTAAGTCATTATACTATTGTTTTGTGCAATCAACCACTTATTTTTCTCTTTCTTTTTTTTTTTTTCGAAAACCCATATATTATTATTTGTTATTTTTTTACATGTTCGTTATTTTTTAATTTTCTTTTATTTTTTATTATTAGATTGATAAATTTTATTGGATAGTGGATATTAGATATATTTGCATTTGATAATAAGTTAATAATAACTATAAACAAATTATTTTTATGATTGTAATTAAATTTCATTTTCATTATAAAATTATTTTATTTTTTAACTTAATATGGTTACAATTTTGGAAATATAATGAACAAAAAATCCTAAGCCAAGTAAATAATTTTCTAATCAATAAAAGTGATTCAAAGGGAATTGGATGATTCTTTTGCTTCCAATGATGCTTATTTAATTATGGATAAATGGTTGGCTATTTTTTAAAGGGTTAATGTGATGATTGGTTTTTAAACTATAGTAAAATGTTTACTATGATATTTGAACTTTAAAAGTTTCTAATGTAGTATATAAATTATGAATTTTTTAATTAATGCGATATTTTTAACATGATTAGCTTTAAATGATGATATGTGACGAATAAATAATATTTGAAGTATCATATTAGTTAATAGATATGATATTTGAATTTTAAAAGTTTCTAATATAGTACATAAAGTATGAATTTTTTAACCAATGTGATATTTTAAACATGATTAACTTTAAATGATGATATGTGACGAATAAATAATATTTTAAATATCATATTAGTTAATAGATTTATAATTTTAGTATCATATTAAAAATTTTTAAAATTCAAGTATTACATTTAACATTTTATTATAATTTTGAGGTCATTCATGATATTAATTTTTTTTTAAGTTTTTAAGATACTTTGGTTTTGCTATCTTGGGTTATTTATTTTTCTAATTTAATTTTAATTAGATTTTTCAATTTTCTATATTTTTTGTATGAAATATTTTTAATCTTATATGTTTAATTTGAGCTAATTTCTTGTGTTTAAACCTATGGATGAGGCTTTTACAGATTTTGTTTGTCTTTATATATATATATATATATATATATATATATAGATTTTAGTATGCATTTGTCACCAATCGTGAAGGAACAAGGACTTGATCGAGTAGTAGAGAGTGACTCCATGTAGGATTTAAATGAGATAAAAAAATTCAGCTACTTCATATTAGGCAAAAGGAAATTTGATTCAGGTCCAGTGCTTTACAAGCTGCTCTCGCTTGCATCTCAAATGCTGTTGGGAATATTGACTCAAATCTCATAAGAGATTTGTTTGAGATTTGTCAGATATTATTTGATGGATAAAAAGACTTGCAAAAAAAGAATTCCAAGAGAAAGAGGATTCTTAATAGGTAAGTTTGACTTGTAAGAGAAGAATTCTAAAAGGAAAGGGATTTTTAATAGGCAAATTTGACTTACAGGAGAAGAATTCTAAGAGGAGAGAGATTCTTAATGGGCAAGTTTGTATGGTTATAAATAGGTGAAGTCTCTACAGGGTTAGGTATGAGAAAAAGATGTAAGAGAGTTGTAGGGTTTTGTGGGATAAACACCTCATAGGAGTATTGGGGCTCTACGTCTTATGGGTGTGTATGTTTGTTTATGAATGGACTAGAGGAGACTGAGATGGTCCACATAGGTATGATGTATGGGAGCATATGGGTATGTGTTTGGTTATGTTGAAAGGGTGCACAACGGTTTGGGTTTGTGTTTGTTTGGGTTAAGAATACTCCATAGGATTAGAAGAGATTGAGAGTGTCTTATGAGTATTGATTGTTGAGTGAGGTTGATGATTTGATGTAAATTTGTAATTCTCTACAACTAGTGGATCTTGTTTCTTATCCGTGGATGTAGGTCAGTTGGACCGAACCACGTTAAATTATTGTCTCTTATGTGTTTCATTTATTGTTTGATTTCACTTCCGCTGGTGTGATTGGATTTGAGGCTTTTAGCCCAACAAATGCATCATATTCATATTGTCAACATGAAGGCTCAAGCTTCAATGATTGTTCCCTTACGGTCCCTAATCACTATGCCTCCACCTTCTACGCTATTATTGCGGTCCACAACCCCCATCAAAGTTGATTTTGTAGGCATCATTCGTAAGAGGTGTCCACTTTTGGGCGTTTTGACTGGCTTCTTGTTCTTTCCTTATATGAGCTTGAATGTATTCTGCCTGATACTTCTTAATGAAACTTGCAGCATTTTGAATCGTTCTCCTATCCTCTCCATGAAGCTTACCATTCCTTCCATTCCATAGACTCTATTTAGCTACCATTGATATTTGCAAATGCTGTTTATCCAAATTTTTGTTTTTCAGCATCAGCCTCTGTCATTGGTATGGTTTCATTACTGACATGGTTCGATTGAAAACCGATTTGTTGCCATATTCCCCTAACATGAATACAGTTTCGGATTGCATGGTCTTTCGTTTCTTCCTTGTCCTCGCACCTGAAACTAATTTTTTTAACCTCCCTCTTCTTTTCCAGATTAACCATCACTGGTTATGCATTGTGATAGTCTCCAAATTAGAACTTTGATTTTGTTAGGAACATTCATCCCCCAGAATCTCTTCCACATTGGTTTTGTATTTTCATCAACATTATGAGACTTTCCTTCAATACCACACTGCATTTGGTAAGCGTTTTCGTGAACACTACCAAAAAAAAAAAAGTTTTTAATAGCTTCCATTCCGTCAATAATATTTTTATCGGTGAAATTTACCGACAAAAAATTTCATTGGTAGTAAGCAAGTCGATAAACAAATTTGTCAGTAAATTTAAAATTCTATTGGTAATTATTGTTTGTGAATTTTGTCGAAAATTTGTCAGTAAAATTTGTCGGTAATGTATCAATATTTTATCAGCAAAATTCATTGGTAATTTGTCGGTAATTGATTAATAATATCGGTCAGTAAATGATGCTTTCGATTGATAAATTTGATGGTAAATTCGTTGGTAATTTGTCGGTAATAACTTAAATTTTGTTGGTAAATCCATCAATAAAATTATAATTTCATCGATAATTTGATTAATTTGATCCATAATTATATAAGAAATTTGTAAATTAAAATTAAAATATGTGTAATTATTTAAAAGATTTATTATTTGTCTATTATTATTAATTAAAATATCAAATCCACATCATAAATTCTAAAACAATCCAAATTATAAAGTAAACATCTATAACATCCCTAATATCCATGAAATATAGTATTGAAAAACATCCATAACCTCCATAAAATCTATCACACAATTCCTCCAAAACATATAACTGTGTTGTTGTATCTCCTAATCCAGAATCTGTGTTGCTGTCATCAGGTCTAGAAAATTGTATTGGCAAAAATTATTTAGACTTCATCAGTCACATCATCTAATTCATGAAAAATCTAAACTCAACCCTCAATTCAGTTCTCAACTCATTAATTTGTTTTTATATTTGAGGCTAAGAAGATTGAAAATGTATAGATGACGAACCACAAACTAAGTGAGAGGTTGCTACAATAGCTGTGAATTGACTTGAAGTAAAGTATGTCCTCAGAGCTATCTAGAGATTCAAAGCCATGTATATGAGTGTGCATAGCTTCAACCGCTCTAATAGCTTCAGTCAATGCCTATGAATCGAAATCTAGATGATTGGAAGAGTCTTCACTATATTTCTAAGATAATGCAGCAACTTAGCTTTTTTACAAAAAGTTTAAAACAATTATTATTCCATTTTGCATGCATAGTTCAATAAAATGAGACAACTTCAAACAATTCAAAATGTCAAGATTTGTTTATTAAATACACAAGAGCTTTCACGTTTCATAAAGTTATTGCATTTTAACATACACAAAATGTTATGTAGTTCAGTATTGAACTTCCTACAATGTATAGGCTTTTCATTACTACATTATCTGTTTTATCAACAATCACAATATATAACTAGAATAATAAAACAAAATATGTAATAGTTTTCACATTTTACAAAATTATTGTATTTCAATATGCATAAAATACTATCTAATTCAATACTGAATTTCTTACAATATTATGAGATAGGTGAAGCCATCGCACCAGAGCTCTTTAAACCAATTCAAGAATCATGGTGCTCAATAATCGTTTTCTCGGAAAGATATGCTTCTTCCAGATGATGTCTGGAAGAACTTTCTGACATTATTAAACAAAAAAAACCAGAGGGGACGTAAAGTTTTCCCAATTTTCTATGATGTGGATCCATCTGAGCTAAGAGAACAGACAGGGAAAATTGAAGAAGCTTTTGCTAAGCATGAAGAAAATTTTAAAGAGCAGACAGTAAGGTGGCTAACATCAAGGGATGGGACTTAAATAAAAGGTAACCATCTTTTTCTTTCACTTAAAAAGTAGTAATATTGTGATTAAATATAAAAAACTTTTGAATAAAAACAAAAAAAAAATTTCAAACTTCTTGCTTTAATTAATTGAGTTTTCAAATATTCATTTTCATATAATTATACCTTTAAATATCTATTTTTATCAAATTAAGCACTCAATTAAAATCAAATTTCAAGATGTCAAATTTAATTGGATGAAAATAAATTTTTGAGATCTCAATTAATTGCAATAAAATGATAAAAGATTGGATGATTATTTATTTTAGTTCAGAAATTTTTTTTATACATCAACCTAATATTATTATCTGCTTAAAAAAAAATACTATTGTTCGTTGTTGTTGGAATGGATACATTTTGATTTTGATTTGGGTAAATTACATGTTTAATCACCTAATTTTAGGTATTTTTTTATTTTGATCATTCAATTATGAAAAGTTACAATTTAGATACTAATTTTATGAATTGTTTTATTCACTCAACCATTACATATTAAAGACACACTGATGTGATATTGTCACATCATTTGTTAGAGGCCATTTGAAATTGTCATGTTATTTAACATGTCATGAGTATTATTGATCAGGCATTATAAATATTGAAAAAAAACTAAATTTTGAAAATTAAAAAAGATAAATTATAATTTTGATCACTTAGCTTTTCAAGAGTTTTTATTTTTGTCACTCAACATTAAAAATTTCATAATTTGATCATCAAAATTTATAAAATTATTGATATTTTGGTTTTCATTGTTAACATCTTACCATCGATGTTGTCTTTTAACAATTTAATCATCAACATTTTTTAATTTAATATAATAAATTATTTTATTATTTTTATTATTTATGCATTTTTATTTTTTTTATTGCATGGAATCAAGTCTATGAACTTTCATTATAATTAGGATGAAATATTTCAAATTTTATTTATAGTTTGGCTGGCTGATGTAATATATCAAGAAATACTTGTTTATTGGAATGAGCTGGATGGTAGATACTTGAAATCATCCCATTTTAATGATTTTGAAAATTGGATTTATTCATTCATTTTTTTTAATTTAAAGGGTACAATTATATTAAAATAAAAATTTATAATTTTAATTTCATGTAATAAAAATATGGAATGCTTATTTATATTTGTTTTATAAAATTAGATGACTTATTTGATAATTATCTCAAAATATTTCAAAATTGATAATAAAAATAATAAAATAATTATTAAATTAAATTTCATAAACATTGATAATCAAAGTATTATAAAACCACATCAGCAATTGAAATCAAAATATTAATGACATGACCAAAATTATAATTTGATTTTTTTTTTATTTTTAAACCCTTTTTTCAAAAGTTATAGTCATATAGTATGTTAAATAATGTGTTAATACCATGTGATATCTAATAAATTACCATATCAAAATACTATTAATCTATAACAAGTGAATGACAAAATAATTTCATAAACATTAATAATCACATTATAAATTTTTATAATTAAGTGACCAAAATAAGAAATCACTTTAAAAAATTAGGTACTAAATGTGTAATTTTTTCTTTTCATTTTATCGGGGTCTCTGGGACAGTGGGAGAGCGAAGGGTGTTTGATTTGCATCATCAATTGTTAGAAAAATAACCTAGATGACGAATCTCACCGCCTCTCCCCTTGTTCTTTAAGGTTAGGTGCTTGGCCCTTCAACTTCGAGAGCAGGGTTCGAGAGTCGGTATTCTAAGGAAATGAATGGAAAACCAATTATTACTCAAATGAGGTATTTCAAAATACCTTTATTTTATTTTTAATCTTCTTACGTGGAATCTTAATAAGCTCTACATATGGTATTTTCGTACACGTGTAGGTACATGCATCCTTGCAACAGTATTTAATTCAATTCACATTGTTTTTTTTCAATTGACATCTCAATGCTCGGTATCTGAAAAACATATAAATTTACTTTGTAATAAACCAAGTAATATTACTGCATATCTGCTTTAGCAAAGATATATATAGTATATAATATATAATAATAGAGAGGGATCAATTTATACCAAAAAAATATTTTTTTAATTTTTAATTTTAATAAATTTAAAGGATGAGATTAATTTTTTTTTTCATTTATCTCTCTTATCTTTTAGATTTATTGAAATTAATGATTAAAAAGAATATAATTTTTTTTAATTTTACACTAATGTAAGTTGATCTCTCTTTTTATATAATTAGCATGTTTTATTGGATTTTTTTTTTTAAAAGATCATAGCTTAAAATATAAAAAGAAATTATAAGTATTGAGATTTGAATTTAATGCACTATTTATTTCATTAAAAACAGCTTTCTGAAAAATAGATTTTTTTTTTGAAAAATCTGAATTTTTTTGTTGTTTGGATAGTATTTTTGAAAATATTTTTTGTTGTTTATTTTTTTTTAAATCAGTATTTCGATCAAAATAATGCTTTTTACTTAACTATTTAAATAATACTTTTACATTTATCCAAAATAATAATAATAATAATAATAATAAATATTATAAATATAAAAATAGCAATTTAAAATTAAAAATACAACACAATAAAATCATTATAACAAAATTCTATAAACTTAGAATATAATAAAATAGTTTGTATATTATTTTTACACAAAAAATAGTCTTACAAAAGCTGAGAACTATATGGATAATAGTATAGATTGTAGGATTTTATCTAATAAAAATTGTTTTTACGAATACTAAATAGTTAATATTGTTCTTAGACATAATAAACTTACAATAACCATTATTAGCCTACACAAAAAGTGGTTCCATTCAAATATTTTAATATAATATTAAAATAACCATAACTATTAAAATATTCAAAATTATTTATTATTAAGATATTAAAATTATTATGTATTTATAATAATGTTTAATATTATTTTCACTAATATTTAAAATAGAGTTACTTTTCTTGAAATATTATTTCTATTAATATAATAATACTTTTAATATCATTATTTATTATTTAACTCTTAAAAAAATTTACTATTAAATTTGGATCAAAATTACTAAATTTAAAAATATTATTTTGATTTAAATGAGTCATAAATTTAATTTTAATCTAAATATCTAAAAAAATATAAAAATTACATTAATATAAATAAATCTCTTATATATATATTAGATATAGGTATAGAGTATTATATTTTTATTATTTATATTTATTATAAATTAAAATATACCATATGAAAAATAAATAACTTATCACATGGTATTCTAGGAACCGTTGTAGAGATTCTTTTTATGGTGGATATATTGATAGAAGTCTAAAAATTTTCAAGAGATGATGTAATGGCTACAAGATTGTACTCTTGTTTTTAAATGACACAATATTTTATTGGATACTCCAAAAATGACATTGGTATAAGATTATAAGATACAATAACTACTTTATTAGCGGCAAAAGAAATTTAAACTCACATAGACAAAATTTTTATTACTGACTAATTAATAAAGTTGGGGTTTCATGACATCGGTCCTCTTCTTGTCTTCGGAGGTTAAGTCGTTGACTTTGATCTTCGAATCCAACGTTCGAGGGCTGGTATGGAAAAGAAAGCAAAGGAAACTATTTCCCTCAAATGAGGTATTCCAAAATACCTTTATTTTTACGCCATACAAAATCATTCAATTCAACGAAAATATCTAACACTAATTTCACAAGTAAACAGTAGTTTACGATGTTTGGCAGAGGCAGAGCTCAGAAATGATATATTCTTATAATCAAATCAATCCTCGTTAACTGGTTATCCCTTTGAATATGTGCCACATGTCAGGAAAAGGCAAGTGATTAAAAGACAAACAAATTATCAATCTTTTATTTCTCTGCCATTTTTCCATGATGAATTGTTGGAACTAAATTTCTTGATCTATCAATAAAACATTCCTATTTTGGCACAGAAATCCTAGTTTCGCATGACTGAATTTGAAGACTCTCAAGTCTTCAACAATTCCTAATTTTCATAGAACATATGAATTAAAAGGTTAATTTAATTATTTTATATAATTATTTTAAAAAATAATATTTAATAAATATGACATACAAATTGATTTATCAAATACATCCTTAATCTTTATCTTTTAAAAGGAAAAAACTTTTATCATTATGTTTATTTGTACCTTAATTTTTGACCCTTTGACGGTGGATTTTCGTCTTTTGAGGGTTGACGTGGAATTTGAGTATTGCGTTGTTTCTTTTGACTGTAATTATTTTTAACATTTGATTTATTTACGAGCTGTCTGAATATTCGGACAGTAACTATTTTTTAGCATCAAATTGAGTTATTGCTAAAATATGGTTAAAGAAAAATAAAATATGACATAAATACATTTAAATTATAATAAAATATTTAATATAATAATTAAATTTTAAAAATTTTTAATAAAATATTTAAATTATTAATTTATTAATTAATATAAAATTTGTTTATAATGTAATTAATTTCAAATAATAATACGTAATGTATAAATAATTTTTTAAATATCATATTAATTAATAAAATCATAATTTAAATATCACATTAAAAATTATTAAAATTCAAACATCACAATATATATTTCACCTTGAATATTATTTTAATCAAATTTATATAAAAGTAATTAACAACAATTAAAAAAATGAAAAATGCTAAAAGCATATATTTTTAATCATTATATTCTAATTAATCAATCACAATTTAAATTTATAAAACATCTATCAAAATTTTATGTGAAATTTATATTTATAAGTGGTGAATTCTTCTTAACTTTTTTATTATAATTAAACAATTATAAAAATATAATAAAAATTGTAAAAAGCAGTGGTTACCACCTAGTTTGCCGAATTCTGACCCCACCTTTGATTTTGTCTGAATTTCAATTATTGAAAGTGACCGTTGTGCTATTCATGAGCCATAAAGGGTTCATATACGTGAATTATAGTCATCGGAATTGATTTGGATCGCAGGTATAATTGGTTG